CCCTAGTGAAAAGCCAGGCATGGTGGGGCACACCTACAATCCCAGCACAGAGACGGTGGGAATAGACAGCTCCTGGAGCTCACTGGTGAGCCAGCCTGGCGAAATCAGTGAGCTTCAGGCTCAGTGAAACTCTTGTTTCAGAAATTAAGCTTGGCAGTGACAGAGGAGGCTTCTCAACATTAATCTTTGACCTCTACACATGCACATATCCACATCACATGCCCACATGAACATGTACACACACACACACACAGAAAGAGAGAGAGAGAGAGAGAGAGAGAGAGAGAGAGAGAGAGAGAAAGGCAGGGTCAGGGGGAGAATAAAAAGGGAGAGAGAGTGTAAAGAACAATCTAAAGGCTGGAGAAGCCCCGCCCTTCACAGTTACATTGGGTGGGGCATCTTATCTTCTCTGCACGTAGATTTACAACCTCTCTCATTGCCAGCAGTTAAGAGTAGATGGGTAGAGTCTTAATACAGAGGTAAGCTTAAGGATAGTTTGCATTCTAAGTTGCACACACACACACACACTGATATCAGCTTTCTAACTCAATTCATTATATTTTTTTCCTGTTAAAAACATGGATCAAAGTTAAATAATTCCCAGAAAATAAGAATTTTAAGCCTCAGTTGGCCTCCTGTTTAAAGATGAGCAAGCATTTTACTACTCAACCTTTTAAGAGATTGTTTTTAATGAATTGATAGCCTAGAGAGAACAGGAAAGTGACCACATACGTGCATATACACCCGTGAAATGTCCTACTTCTTAAATGCTCTAAAACGCAAATTTCCCAAGCATAGCCATGACATGACGAGTGGAAAATTTTAACCTGCTTCATATGATAGGTCACAGTTAAAATGCAGGCACAAATCATGTACAAAATTACCTTTAGGCCATGTATATAAGATATATATCATATAAATATATTTGATAATTATGATATATAAATATCAAATTATGATAATTATGATATATAAATATCATATATAAATTTATATCATATAAATGAATTGTTCAAGCCTGGTGTGGTGGCGCATAGCTGGAATCTCAGAAGCGTCATGATTTAGACATTAGTCTGAGCTACACTGCAAGATGAAAAAAAGGAGAAACGGGAGGAGGACAAACAGGAGGAGCAAAAGAAAGAAGAGAGAGAGAAAGGAGAGAGAGAGAAAGGAGAAAATAATAATAAGATATAAGAAAGAAAATAATAATTTTATTTAATTATTTTGTGTTTAATTATCTTGGGTGCTATCCTATCTTTTTATTTATATGCTAATACTCCAAAGTATCTTGAACAATCAAAGTTTTGAAACAATCCTTAATTCAAAGTATTTCAGATAATGGATATCTAGCCTGTATTTATTATCTTATTATTAAATTAAATGACTACTACTTATCTATTTTATTTAGCATTTCCAGTATGTGGTAAAGCAGTCGGCAATATATCTGCAGCGAGATAAATATTGTTCAAGGATGCACAGTTCTGTATACAAAGTGTCGTGCTTTGCTCAGACAAAATATTTCACTGGAAGTGTGGAGGAAACAAATCAGCCATCAAACACTCTCTGTTCTCTCTGCAAACATTTGGATAGAAAGAAAAGCTTTGCCTCCAACGCTGCTGGAACCCTCTTGCAAGTCACTGCTAATGTCTGAAAGAGTCCGGAGTTATCTGAGTAATGTGAAGAATGAGAGATCTCTGCTGAAAAAAAATCAGCATTTCAAAGGGGTCAGATCATACAAAAACGGCATTCTACTGTAAGCGTGCAGTAGGCAAGGACACTAAAAAATTAGACTTCTTAAAGGAAACTTACTAAGTACCTTGACTGACAGTGTATCTCAAGACACAAGTGATAAATGTTGGGACTATGGGGACGTTAGCAACCGAAGAGAAAATATAGGTATGGCATCCACAGCTTCCATTTCCTCCCAAGTCTATTGAAGGACTTCTGCTGGCTGATCTTTCTGACAATTCACACACACACACACACACACACACACACACACACACACCCCACTACTCTCCCTCATCTAAGGCTCAGTGCTCTCTGTTTTATATTCCGAGACTACAGTAAGTTCGTTCCTTACTGAGGCCAAGAGAAAACACCCCGCTACAGAACCCAGCTGTAATTTGCATCAAGCTGATACATAAAAGCTCAGAGACGCTGAGAGGAAAAGAGGACACTAGCAAACCTTTGCAGGGATGCCATCTCACCACCCTCATCTCACCCACCCTCTGACCCTGCCTGCGTACAAACCTGAGTGCTCCTCACTCTCTTAAGTGCCTCCAATGTCCAGCCACAGGTACAATCTCTATACCTGGACGCTGCTCTCCAAACATAAAAGGCTCACAATTCAGAAGTTGGAAGATGGGAAAGCAGCCAGGAGAAGCAGCTAGGTATGGATTAGGAAATACTCTAGCCATAACAGCTGCTCGACACCCTTTGCCACACACCCATGGAAGCCATGACTGTTCACCCTACCCTACCCCAGTCTGCCACAAAGCACGGCACAGAGACAGACATCATGATCCAAGCATACGCTTCCATGGTATTTGCAAAAGCCATCTGGAAAAATCACAGTGAGTGTGTGTGTGTGTGTGTGTGTGTGTGTGTGTGTGTGTGTGTGTGACACTCCTGAATGTCACCCCGAATCCCTCTGCAGCATCATGCATGCAGTCAGCCCAAGCAGGGTCCAGAAATGAACAGCATGTTGCAAGGGCCTCCGTGGTGGTTAGCAGTCTGTGGCTCTCTCTGTCTGTATCCCAAGCTCCATCTCTGATGGACTTTGGGAACAGCCTGCCCCCTTCTGGTCTCCTTGAGCTCCATGAAAGGGCAGGGGTTGAGGTGGGCACAACTTGAGGAGGACAGACAGACCCCCTAGGCTCTAGCCATTCTGTGCACACTGCAGCTCCTGGGAATGGATGGGAGAAAGGAGGAAGAGAGGAGAGTGACACGCATGTGACAAAAAGTGAAGGAACAGCAACAAGACCGGACAGTCGAGAACAACCAGGAATGGGAAAGCAAAAGAAAAAAAGAACAAAATGTATATATAGCTACACGGGAAGATGAAGAAACGAAGACATGGGAAGATGCCGGTGGGAGGATATACCGGGAATCACAGGTAAGAGTAAAATTGCAGACAAGCTCTGCTGCTATGACTGGGAATCGAAAGACACGTTTAAAAGAGTAAGTGACACCTTGCCAACCCACCTTTCCCATTCCAAACCTGATGTGACTGGTCTAGGACATTAAAGATTACTCCTAGGTGAACACACAATCAGGGGTTGAGCATCACTGCTCAGAACATCGAGGAATTACAAGGAAATCAGCAGTTGGTTTCTTTTCCTGCCTTCTCACTAATCTCAACAGGTGGTCTATATACCCTGAAAGTACCTCCTGAACCCCGTTTGCAAAAGGTACAGCAAGTCCATGGTCCCCTCCCCACACTCTCTGATTCCACAGTGGGCCAGCACTACATGCTCTTAGCCCCTCCCACCTCCCAGTAGGTCTCCAATTTCAGAAAGAACGTGTAATAGCATTTCCCCCCCAGTTGGAACACATGATCGACTCCAGGAGTTCAAAGGCAGTGAGTGCCTGGGTCCCCTTAGCTGTAAAAAAGGCTTGGGGACATTGAGAATGCTCAGATTCTCATCCACAAGCCTCACCACAGATGAGGGTTACGACTTCTCCCTGGTAGCTACAGAGCAGCCAAATGCTCTGTCAGAGCAAGTCCTGAGACTGCTTCAGCCCACAGACACAAAGAGCTGCACTCAGGCAACAAGGGTCAAGACAATCCCGAAGAACTTAAGCTCATCAGAAAGCACTTCTGATACGGCTGTGTAGTTGTGTCTAGGCATTCTTCAGCAAGAACTTCCAGAGTGGCAAGCAATAACAAGGACTGTTCCCTCCCTACAGATCCTAGAAACACTCCCCTGGTGGCTACTGTCCTTCAGATGCTGGGCAGTTCTCTGCAGGGAACTGGGATGATGGACAGTGAGTCACACGGCATATCACACCAGCCTAAAGACAGACAGACACTCATTCCCACGCAGAGCAGAGACCCTGTACAGTAGTTAGGGACTCGGACCTCCTGCCCTCCTAGCTCAGAAAAAGGTGAAACAGATACCCTAAAAGAAGTTGGGGATAGGGGAGGAAGACAAGCCGGTGCTCCACCTAGACAACCAGATGGTACTAGTAGAAGTGTGGAAGACAGTTTCAGTGCCCTGACTATCCACATCCGAGAAGAGCAAAGCACACTGGGAGGTGTGGTGATAGTGTGGCCAGACAGACAGTAAGTTCAACGGGCCACCCATATCAAGTCAGAGACAGCCAGCTGCGACCAAGGGGCAGTAACCTGAAGCTGCAAATCCAGGAGGAGGCGGTCATGGAGGGCAAGAGATGGCAAGGTTAGGGACTGAGGAAGGTAAGGACTGGGGAAGGTGGAGAAAGGAGAAGCAGACACCCAGAGATGAAAACAGGACCCAAAGTCAGATCAGGCAAGCAGGACTCAGTGTTGATTTGGGTACCAGGGACGTGGTGGAGGACTTGACACACTCATTCCAGGTCTCTTCTCAGCCCACAGCAAGCAGCTCAGACCAAAGAGACTGCGTGGAGAACTACCCTTGAGCAGCGGCTAAGGATCCGGTCACGATCCGATGCACGCACTCGAGTGGGGAGTGAGACATCAACGCCCCTACCCAGAGAGCAAGGAGGATGCCCAGCAAGTGATAGGGAACAGGACCCCCTAGAAAGCGAGTCTCTTCTGGAGCTCACTTTCCAGACCCCAAGGGGGCGGTCCTCAGACTCCGCACAGAGCAGCGCAGCTCAGTGCACGACCCTGCAGCTGCCCAGGGCAGCCAGAGGCAGCCAGAGGCAGCCAGGGCGCAGAGTCCCTTCGGATATCGGGACTTGGGTGGCCAAGACCAATGGGAGGAGTGGGTAGAGTCGCCCATCTGTCTCTCTGTCCGCGCAGTTCGCGATCCCCTTTCCAAAGGGCACCTTACCCTCGCCCGAGCGGCTAGTGCCCCGCGGCTGGCAGGCTGCTGTGCGCGGGCTCCTCCGGGGCCGCCTCCCCGTGCTCCTCCTCCGCCGGCTCGGCCTCCAGGTCCTCCGCGGGCTGCGGGCAGATGGGCAGCCAGGTCCCTGCGCTCCCGGCGCGGGGCCGCGGGCTGCTGCTGCTGCTGCTCGGCTGCTCCCGCCGCTGCCCCCGCGCGCCGCTGCTCTCCAGCCCCGGAGTCCAGGCTGCTGAAATTCCACACCACCAGCGTCTGCAGCAGCAGCACCATGAGCGCCGCCAGCAGCGCCGAGTGCGAGCGCCGCGCCAGCCTCCGGGCGCACGGCGCCGCCACCATCTTCCGCGGCGGCCCGGGGCGAGCGGGGTGCCGGGACACCCCGGTGCGCGCTCTATCCCGGGGGCTCCGCGCTCGGGCCCCGCCGTCGTCTCCCGGGCTCGCGGCTGCTTCTCCTCCTGCTCCTCTCCTCCACCACCTCCTCCTCCTTTCCTCCTCTGCCGCCGCCGCCGCCGCCTCCACCGCCGCGGCGCGGAGTTTTCAGACGGGCAGGGACCCGGACGTCACCAGGAGGAGGGGAAGGCGGGAGGCGGGCGCGGGGAGGCCGCGGAGGGGGCGCGGCGCGCGCGCGCGGGGATACGGCTCAGGGAAGGAGCTGGCCTCACGCGATTCCCTTCTCCCTGGGCCAGGGTCCCCAACTCACACCCCAGGATTCTAGGGAGGGCGTTGGGGGTACCAGGGCTGGGGAAGGGGCCACCAGGGACGCGGGCCTTGGGCAGAGGGCGGGGCCTGGAGGAGGAGCCGAGGGCAGCGTGGGGAGGAGAAGGTGAGGGAGGGGGTGGGGGCGAAGGAAGCAGACAGACACCCCCCAGAACAGGCGTGGGAACAAGGTAGGGGTTCGAAAAGGCCGGTATAAGGGGTAGAGAGAGAAAAAGTGGAGGACAGACAAGCCAACAAGGCAGCTCAGCTTGCGGAGATCAGGAAAAGGGAAAGAAGGGTCCCGAGACCCCGTGTTCCATGTGGCAGAAAACTGGAGGCGGAGTTGCAGGAGGCGCGGAGTTTTCCGTCCCGGGATCTTTGGTTGCACTGAGAAAACCTTGGCAGGTGGAGATGGGAGAAAACGTAGGAGTGTCACAGGTCCCGGCTCTTGTGCAGCCCGGGATTCCTGGATCACTGACTGAAACGATGGGGAGGAGGTTCTCAATGACTCTCCGAGGTTAATCAGCACAAGCACTGTGACTTCTGAGTCACCCCCCACTCCAGGGCCAACCAAAGATTCAGGGCTCACTGACTCACTTCTCTGGTCCCCAAGGACTCACAATCAAACATCCTCCCAATCCAGTTGGCAAGTGGATGCTTTGGTGGCTAAAGAAGTTTCCCAACCCTCCCTGGCCACAAACTGAAGGCGCCCTCCCAGCCTCAGAGCATCCCTTAACGCCCTTTCCACCCAGCCTTCCTGATGTCTGACTTTCTATGTCCACTAGATTCAGAGCTGGGTGAGCCCAGCCTTGTATTATAAGAAGAAGCATTTTCCTGGACTGATAGGTGACCTTGAGCCACTTGGACTGCCCCCCTTGACCTTGTTCTGTGCTCTGTGCTCTGTGCTCTGTCAGTGAGAATTTGGAAGGAACAATCTCTCTGAATTCAAACTTCAACCAGCCCTGTCTGCCTCAGTCTTATAGCCTACCCCTCTTGATACACAGTATCTATGAAGGTCTGCACATGAATGGGACTGATGCCTATGTCAGTGAGTTGGGGATTTACATCGAATTCTTGGTCTTTTGTCTCCTGACGTTTTATACATCACCCTGGTTTTTAAAGGGAAGAGAGTGGATATGTACAGAATATATCAGAGAACAAGGCAAACAGTGACAAGAAATAGACCCTTCCATCCACTGTACCAGCATACTAGAGCACTGATGTATGTCGGATGTGGGATCAGGTACAAGAATCCCAAAATGACAATGGATGCCTCTTACCTACAGTGAACTTGAAGGCCAGAGGAGCCAGACGCAGGTAGGTATGGAATCTCAAAAGAAAATGTGGCCAGCATCCCTACAGAGATTTGCAAAGGAGCCATGGGTTCATAAGAATGCTACTGGGATAGCTGTGTCCTCAGCCAACCTGCTGCCCTGACCATCTAAGTCCACTCCAGAGCCCCCCTCCCAGCTCTGCAGCCAGGCACAGAGACATTCCCAGCTCATCAAGAGTGAGTGAGATTGTGGAGGAGAGGAAGCTCCCTGGCTCACCAGTCTCCTCTTATCTACGAATCAGTTGGGAACATTTATAGTTCCTGTAATAAAGCACCTGGTCTAACAATCTAAAAATAAGCCTTACTAGATCCTGGATCGTAGAACTAGTTATTGCAGAGAACTGACTCCAGGCATGGCTTGATCCAGCAACCCAGAACGACCACTACAGAATTTTCTCTCTTTTTTTTTTTCTCCTCTCTTTTCCCCCACAGGGTATGTTCACACTGGAACATCACAAAAGGCCTGGATTCTGCGACTGAGACTAGCTGTAACTTTAGTTCATCTGTAGTCCAGGATTCTCTTAGAAGATGCAGAGATTTTCCTTAAGGAGTGATTTATAGGTCTTTAGTTACCCCTAAACCAGTCACAGAGCCCAGGAAGTCAGACCAAGGAAATGAATCTAACCAGGGTTCCATGATTCACCTCTGGCCTTAGGGTAAATCTATTGTCTCTGTAGCCATTCAGATTTTCCGGAGAGCCAGGTGGGTGGGAGCAGGTGGGTGTAGAAGAGTGGCTTCCCTTGTCTGTCTACACAGTCCCCACTGACCTTCCCCCACCATGGTCAAGTCGTCTCTCCTCCCAGGACTTCAGGGTTCTTACTGGGAAGTAAGTAGCTAAAGGGCACATAAACACAGCCTCCAAATCCTGCATTGGCTGTGTAGAATATTCCAGCCCCTGGCCCACCTTTGTTTCAAGAGCTCTATTGTACTTTGCCTGTAAAGCAGCAATGACCTATGCTTCCTCCCCATGACACAGTTAACAGCAGTCCTCCAGGGCCCAGGCTGTGATTCAGCTCCCTCAGGGCCCCAGTGCTTCAGCACTGAGGTTAAAGATCCTGGGCCCAAATCCCTGGAGAAACAAAGTTGTTTATCTTGACTCATAAAAAGCCACACAAGAAAGAGATTCAGTTGCCCTGGGCAGGTTAGAGATGCCATAAACAGCTCATTTGATGGGTTTTGGAGGAAATTTTACCTGAGGTGGCATCTGAGAGTATCTTCTTCTGGCTCCAAGATGAGTAGCCCTTCAAACATTTTACAGAGAATGGGGAGGTAAAGATGGATTAAAAGAACAGATAACTGGGAGCTGGGGTGAATTAGAGTATATAAAATGTCCATCTCAGTATGTCTGGGAGACCCAGAGGCTGGGCACCCTAAATTTGCTGAACTATCAAACAGAAATAGACTTTTTCCATTAAGAGGGACAGGATTTTTCATTTCCAGTTGTATACAGAGAGACAGGTGGCCTTGATGGATAAGAAAGAGACCAGGATCCTGCTTGAGACTGGGCAGTGGCTCTAGCCACCATATCCATAGTCCTCAAGACTTTCAAAGCTCAGTTTTTCATTCCTCAAAGATACATGGAACCCTATTACATGTAGGCATCCTGCTGGGCAAGCGAAATCTGGGGATGATGAAGATTCTCCAAGGAACCTTTCTTTTTAAATACGGTTCCCCAGCTCCCATGCTATGGGCCTCAGGAGACAGAGCTCTGGGGAAGCTTCACCTGATTTGTGGGATTCCCAGCCACCACCCGAATGTCAAATCTTGTTTCTCCATCCCTTCCAGGATGGGAAGGCTGAATCTGTCACGGAGCATTTTGAGTTATTGGGTGTGCACAATCCTCAGCTAGCGATTGCAAAGGAAATGGTTAGGACAGTCTTCACTCTCAAAGAACTGTCCAACAGGACAGAGGGATAAGACAAGTCATTGACAGCAATTCCAGGATCAGTGCAGAGAGCGAATGAGATAGATGAGGACTAGATTGCCTAGGCTTAATGTGTGCATGTGCACATGCATGTGTGTGTTTGTGTGCATGAAAGCTGGAAGGGAACCTCAGGGGTGGGTTTTTGGTTTGTTTGATCGCTGTTTATCTCTATTTGATTTTTGACCTGGAAGTTACAAAAAAAAAAAAAAAAAAAAAAAAAAAAAAGGTTATGCTGCCCAGAATCAACTGCCTCCAGTTCTCCAGGGCTTGCTATCATGGGCAGCTTCTTATGTGGTTTCTGTGGAACGAGCTTCTTTACTAGCTGGCCTATCTCTCTAGCCCCTCTGCTGCATTTTAATTGAGTCTTTTAAGTAAGTATCCATTGTTAGCTTCTATGTCTCAATGTCCTCATCCATAAAACGGGGTTTACAATACTGAGAACTTTATTGACACTTTCTCATAAGGATTAAATGAGCTAACTCATACAAATAACTTTTTGTATCCAGACTGATAAAGTCAAGCTTGGTGGCACACACATTTGGAAGATGGGAGCATGGGAACTACCAGCTTGAAGCTAGTCTGGAGTACACAGCAAGCCTCTTCTTATCAAAGTTAGATGGCTAAAAGCATCAGAGAGGAGAAAGGTTGGTTACAGAGGGCTCCATGGAGGAGGCTCTGTAACATCAGGACTTTGTGATACTCCAGTGTCTCCACAGGTGGATTTTTGCCTCACTTCTTTACACCGGCTCTCTCTGCTACTTGGTACAGTGCAAAGCTTCGGGTGAGATCTGGGTGTGGAGTGAACATCCATCTATTGCAGGATTGGGGGAAGGTGAAATGAGCCAGGGCCTTCTTCCACAAAGAAGCCAGCACCGTGTGGAGCCTGGTACAGATCCAGGTTCAAAACCCGTTCTCAGCAACATTTTCATTTTATGATCAGTGAGCCTGACATATTTGACCCTCAGTATTGTGAAGCAGAAAAGTAAAGAAAAAAAAGACTCATGTCTTCCAGGGGACATGAAAACGGTGATATTGTATGTAGGAGTATGTCATCTATTTCTTGTGAAATGGAGGGATTAGCCAGTGAAGGGCAGAAAGACTGGTAGCTGGGTCACCACCTGATCACCGAGTAAAAAAAAATTCCTGTTCTTTCCAAATATTCCTGCCTCGGAGTTCTGGAGAGCTGGGGCTTTGCATACCTCCTACTGAGTTTAAATAAACTTCAGACTAACAGTCAAATTTAGTGAGGTATATGGTTTCCATTTAAATCTCATTCGCATGTCTGTTTCTTGTTTTTATAGTTGGTTTTTACCTAAATGCTACCAATTGACCCGACTTTGCTCTTCAAAAGAATTTTTTAAACTCCTCCTGAGTTTCACTTCTGCATCAACACAGACGTTGGAAGCAGGTGGCTCACCTGCATGTGCTTGATGATGTGAGACTTCTGCACGTAATACCTCCACCCACAGCATCCCTGACTGTCTCCAACAAATGTCCACGAGCCAGAGGGGTTCTGAGCAGCAGGGTCACAGAAGCCCTTCCTGTGTCTGGGCTGTGGGTAGAAGCTCTCTGGTCTTCA